ACTGTTAAAGCATTCAAGGTAGACAAATCAAGAATACTAGACAGCAAGAGAAGTACTGCAATGCATATTGAAAATGAACTAGAAATATTAGAAGCTATGGGTTAGAAAACACATAACATCAATCTTCTCTTAAATGCATTAAAGATGATTCCACCCACATCCATTGAATCAGAAAGGGCATTCTCAGTAGTGGGACTTTTCATTATTAAAATAATCAGATTGAGTGATTGGGGTATTGGCCATCTTTGGTTTTCAAAATCTTATAAAAATTTACAATAATATTTTGTATTGTTTTATTTAAAAAATGAAAATTACCATCTAAGTTAGAAGTTTGATCTAAGTTCATTTTTTTCTTTAAATTTTCAACTCAATTCAAAAGCATTTTTTTGTAAGCAGTTTCCAACAAACTAATACATTTTTTCTATTAAAGGTAATTTTAATATATATTTTACAGAGCATTATTAATATTATGATTTTGGAGGTTGCAGAACATTATGAAAATGATTTAAAAATGAAAAATAATTATATCATTTGATTTCAAGATATTTTTTATATGTATTAATTTTATCCCAGATTTCCTGGGATCCCAGAAAACAGTTCACTTTTTTTCCCAAAATCCCAGGACAAACAAAAGACCGGGAAATGAGAAACCCTACTTACAATGTTCTTGGAGATAGGCAGATATATAATATAATGCTCTGACGTGAAATATTCTATACAGAAATGAAATCTGAGTAAACAGAAAAACAGGATGTGTGACATGACTGATATTTTCATGAAAATGGAAGTGCTTAGGCAATCACACCAGAGGTATGTTGGATAATTCAGAGATCTGATTAGCAAGAGTGAATTACATCTACAAAATACTTTTTTAAAATAGACACCTTCTGTAGCTATATACTTCTACCAAGAGTCAAACTACTTCAAGAAAAGATTTTACCATTTTTGAAGTCTTCCCAAAGGAAGTATGCACCACATTACCTCAAATCGAACGTAAACTTCTAGCAAGATTAATAATACTAGAAGCTAGAAGCACATTGACTTAATAAGTCATACTACTTATTAAGTCTTGCAACCCATTCTGTGTTGCTTCCTTGTGATTGTCAGTGCTTTTCATTTCTTCAGCTGATTTGCAACTCTTCAGTAGAACTTTCATTTTAGTGATAACATGAAATCTGGTAAGTACAGATAACTAGTATTTTGCCAGATATTTACTAGAGAATGTGCATGCCCAAGGTATTGTTATGACAAATTCAGCTTTTTGCTTAAAAGAGATGAGGCTATTTTTGTCTGACTACATTAGAGAAAACCAAAAATGTCAATGTACATTTCCTTATAATGGATCTACCATTGGAATTAAACTTGTAATTCAAAACTTTCACATCAAAAAAGTCACAAGCATTTACTGCCCACTTGGATGTGTTAAGGCAAAATTTACTCTATCTTAGTAGAGACTTATTTCCATATCAATGAAGCATGTTTGCTCTATGAGTCGAATAAGAAATACTATGCTTCATCATCAGTATAGACATCCAATAACCAAATGTTTTATTACCCCTATTATCACTTATATCTAAATTATTAATAGTTCTGGAGGAAAAGATAGAATGGAGGTTCAGATAGCAAAACTGGCAATGCATCCATACAGTAAGAGGGAATTGCAGGTTTCTCTCACTCAGGACTGATTCTTTTCTTCCAATGCTTTCTAAATTAAATATTAAATTTATCAAGACATGGCTACCTCCATGCAAAATTACTTAACATTTAATTATTAATAGTGGTCATATTATAGCCAGATATAATCAGATCATTTGACCATTCATCATCAGTAATCACTGTTTAATCTAGATCTTTATCAATTGTGTTAATTAGTCCTCCATTGATGAGTGCACATTCTTCACATTGTTTTGAGAAAGTTGAAGAATCTGAGACTAAATATAATGCATTTTCAAGTTATCTTAAAGAATAAGTCTTTAGAAATTACCAAAATGTCAATTAGATTGTCTAGTCTGTTTTGATCTCTCTACAAACTTGGAAAATAATTTATTGCTGAAGCTGGTCTACCTGGATGCAATTATCCTTCTTTAAAATGTCTTTCATTCATATACATGTCTATGTAACAGAATATCATTACCATATGCTTCCTTAAGTAGATTAAATGAATTTCTTTTGACAGAAAATGAGACCACCACAAATATTCATAGGTGCTTAAGAAATGTTTATGAATGGCAGTGGAAGCTTGTTTCTTGGGCTGGCTACCAACAGCTGTGCAGCTGCAATAACGGCACCCATATTCAGAATAATCAGTAAATCAGCCAGAGAACTCACTTCTTGACTTGATTATCTACTAGTTAGGATATTTAAAGATGTCTGACAGATGGGTCCATCAAAGTTTAACTGATGGCCAAAAATAAACAAAGAGCCATCTATTCTGAGATACCTGTTATAGGGCAAAGGTACACTTCCTTATCCAACATTGTCACAGTGATGAAAAATGGATTTGTCACCTAAAGCCCTGAGACAAAAGGCAATCCTTGTAGGAGCATCTCTTTCTCTCTTTAGAACAGACACACTACTATCAGCTGTGAGATAATGGCATCAATCTTTTGGGTAATTCTGGTCTTCATGGTAAAATAACAAACAAGGAAGACTACATGAACATTCTTGAGAAGTTAGAAAAAGAAATGATTCTTGCACATTGTCATATAGATTCAAGCAAACTTTCCTTAACACGAAAGGCCAAGACAAGCCTATGCATATGAAAGAAAATCACAAAACTTCCTACACACCAAGTAAAGTGGATTTTTATTATGTTTTCATACAAATGCAATCACAAGTCATTTTCTTTGTATGTGAACACTGGAAAAATTTCCTGAGAACCTGATCCAAAAGATTGTCCTGAAACTAGACAGGCTTTTAGTTTATAACTTTACATGTTGTAATATCCCAAAGATTAGTCAAGCTGATCTGATAGCATACTCCACAAAAGCAAATCAAATATTAATTTCGCTTAAAATAAATTTTATAAATTCTTGGAATCATGTAGTAGTTTAGAATTTTTCACTGAATATACAGTAAGGTATGTGGTTTATAGATGTAAATGTTTAAATATTACATTCTAAAATAATGGTTTAGAATGTAATATTTAAACATTAAAGAATTCTATTCAAAGTTTTCAATCCTGACAATGGCTATACAGATAGCCAAAAGGATTAAATAAAATTAAAAACAGTTGCTAGAATAAGCTTTTTCCTTTAATTTACAATAATCCAGTTAAAGCTCAATATATGAAATAAAAAAATTGAATGTGAAGAAATGTTATCCTTTATACAAAGATTTCAATTGACTTATTTCAATTCTAAGAAATACAAGTCTGAAAAGTTTTTACAGGTGGTCATTGTGCATGGACATGCACAATAAATGGATTGAATGGAACATAACACTTAAGTAAGGAAAATGAAGTCAGTGCACATGCGCATGGAAATCTGACAAAGTCCTAACATAAGCACTTCACCACTATAGTGGAGTATACTAAAAATTTGGTAATATTTAATTAAAATAAACAAACACCTTTCTCTATTCCAGCACAACGTTTAATGTTTTAAAAAACGTTTTCAACCGTTTTAAGCGATCTTCCTCAGTTCAAATTCGAACCATATAACGAACAAAGTATTCAAAAAATACAAAAATTCAAAGTGCTTATTCACAACTTAACGCAAAAGCACATGCCCGTACTCATAAAATGTATACATTAAACCAAAAAAATTATATATTAAGTAATATTACAAAAACAATTAATAACGCCACCTATGTGGTTGCAACAGTTAATCTATATGACTGCGCAGTGCATCAATCACAGGTATGCTGAAGGTTTATCAACAGCCTGGAAGTCCTTTTACGATAACATAGATTAACTGTTGCAACCGCATAGGCGGCATTATTGTTTGTAATATTACTTGATATATAATTCTTTTGGTTTATTTTTAATTATTTTGGTTTAATCTATACATTTTATGAGTATGGGCATGTGCTTTAGCGTTAAGTTGTGAATAAGCGCTTTAAATTTTTGTATTTTTCGAATACTTTGTTCGTTATATGGTTCGAATTTGAACTGAGGAAGATTGCTTAAAATGGTCGAAAACGTTTTTTAAAGCATTAAATGTTGTGCTGGAATAGAGAAAGGTGTTTCTTTATTTTATTTAATTAATTCCAGTAAGCATTTATTTAAATATTTAATTATATGGGCCTGGTCTTCCAAAATGAATGCTACTATTTTAAATTACCATAATTATGTTAATTATTATCCAAGAAGTATGTTATGTAAACCAATCAATAGTGTAACTGACCAAGTTTGTCTCCCATCTGCATTCAAACATTGTGTTATCTACCACCGCTGCCATAAACAGAAATGACAACTCCACAATAGAGGTGTTTTGTGAAGGCAAAAAACACCTATCCTAAAAAGTCAGAATCACTCATCATTGTTTAACATCAGTAATCTGCAGTTGTAGAATTATCTGCCATTGGAAGCAACAATGGAAATGCTGTAGCAAGCATAGGAAGAATTTGAGTATCAGTCAGATGTGTGCCTTGTGACACAAGGTGTACACACTGAGAAACTGTAATGGGCAATATGAAACTTGAATAGTTTTTCAATGTTTTAATGTACATTACAACATCCTCATATAATAATTAGTATAATTACAATAATTTAAAATGGTAGAATTCTTTTTGGAAGACCTTATATATTTCACTTAAGAATTTCAAGCTGATTTAAATTACATATAAAAATACACATACTTTAAAAATTCACCAAATATATGAATTATATTTTATTTTACATTATGTATTTTACAAAATTTATGATTTTATTATATATTAAAACTTCTTTTAAAATCTAAGATTATCAAATATTTAAACGTAGATGTGTATATATTTAAAATTGATTTAATACACATTAGTTTAAGTTGTATTTTTATTATTATTAGAGATAAAATCATATTTTAAACTAAAAAAATTTCTGTATCAATTCGTAAAGATAAATTATTTATAAAAACAAAGTATATAAATTCCTTTTAGTTTTTTATAAGTAAAAATATCAAATTTCACATTAATTCATGGAACTGATTAATGCTAATTAACTCCTTAGAAGGTTAAAAATATAAAAAGCAAACTAGGAATTTGTAATACAATAAAGTTTTTTTTTATCTGGCATTCCATACTATCCAGCAGTATTTTTTTTTCATCTGGACATTTTGAAAATTGCCTTTTGATTATGAACTCACTAATGGCATGCAATTAACAAAGTTGTTCCCCTCTGGTGTGCAGAGCGACAAACATTGTTTGCCCTCCTCTACATAACTTACTCTTTATTTTCCATGAAAACACACACCACCATAAACACTGCACATGCATTTAAAAATGAATAAAATGAGGCTTTCATTTCATTCCAGAGCCTATCTAAACAACTTCACCTACTGCAATAGTCTGGATATTCGGTTCCCATTTATGACAGATAATCAAAACTTTTACTGTATTTTAACACAAAGAAAGTAAAAATACAGTAGACTCTCAGTCAACCAGAACTCAAGCAATTGGCAAAAAATTCAAAGAAATAATACTTTAAATAAAAATTTAAAGTATTATTTCTTTGAATTTGAATACTTTAAATAAAAATTTAAATCAATCTAGCGAAATGCAAGGTAAATTTTGGCATGCCATGCTGAAAGCCCACACTTCGCAGACCATATTTGACCCTTGCTCCCATCAATTCACTAGATTCTGACTAACAATAATGGAATCCAACTGACCAATGTGTGTCAGTTGGAATCTATTATTCAAATTTTGTGTTCTTGTCCAATCCAAGATTTTCTTTGTCTTAATTTGCTTTAAATTACTGTATTTCAATTTTAATATCAAATCAATACCAAGTTTATGATATGGTAGTATAGTATCTAGTATTAGTTAGGTTTGCTTGATTTACTCTTAAAAATAATCAGAAACTACATTTATCCAGCATCTACCAATCAGCCTGCATACCAGTTAACTGAGAATCTACTGAAATCACAAATTTTGTATTTATTTTCAAAATATGTTTATGTAAACAAAATTCAAAATTTTTTGATAATAATAATTGTAAAAAGAAAAACAAAATTTCAGTTAAGTGAAATTTGTAAGAATTTGTATAGTAAGTTTAATTTTACTATGTTCTGAAGTATATTTTCTACTAGATACTTCAAACATATAGTACAACTTTTTCTTCAAGAAAAAAAAATTCATTTAACTCTGGATATAAATATTAAACTTCAACTAATTTAAATATTGTACTGCATACACTTTACTTGCAGTTCAAATAATGTTTTAAAATGCCGTTACAATGCAAGCTTTCAAACATATTGGCTATTGTTACCAAAATGTTCTGTATAAAGAATATACATTTCACATAATTAAAGAAAAGGTATCTACAGCATATTTACAGTATGAACACTTAATATTTATTATTTTATATATATATATTTATATATAATGTTTATGTATGTGTGTATGTAATTTGTATGATAATTCATTTATGGTTAGTAAATTCAATTATTTTCCAAATTTAAAAATAATTATGCTTCTTGTCCTTCTTGTCTAATAATTCTAAAATCTTTCACTACTCGAAGAGTAACGTTTTCGTTTATGATGATGTTTATGTTTCCGATGTTTTTTCCTCTTCTGTTTTTTATGCTTTTTCCTGTGAGAACTACTTCCAGATGACACAGTTTTGTAAAATTTTATAGTTGAAGTTTTTCCAACCACACTACAAAGTCTAAATGTAGAATCACCAGAATAATCTGTGGAACTGTCATCACTATCAGAGGCTTCAGTATCAGTTGAACTGTGATAAGAGGGATCTTTCTGGGCTCTTTTACTGTAATATTTGTAAGATTTTACTTTTTTCTCTCTCTTCTTAGAACATTCTCCTTTCAAAGCTTGCTTAGAATTACTAGATGACGATTCTGGTGGAGACCACGATGAATGTCTTGAATGATGTTTCTCAGAATATGCAGGTGAAGAAGGTCTGTAATAATCTCTCTCATGGAATGTCAGTTTCTTCCTGAGGTATCTTTTATCATCTAAATCATCCACACAAGATTTCCGAATCACATTCATATTGTAATTTTCAATTTCTGTATCACTAGAACTAGAAACAAGATCAATCAATTCTGGAGTTCTCTCTGATCTTGGTTTGACATATCCAATTACCATACAGTCTGAATCACTTTCTTTATCAGTTGAAATATTTTCTTCCTTTTTCTCAATATTAGAAGTTTGTGTTTCTGGGATAGAACAATGTGTAGAAGTACTAGGACCAGGAAGACCACTTTCTAAGTCATGCTGAGGATTATTAAGTGGTGAAAAAATTATTGAATTTGATGATTCTTTGTTCATCCAACTTTCGTCACTATTCCAGAATATCTGCTTTAAGTTAGAATTATTTTGGCTTGTGCTATGAGTAGATGAAAAATCTGACTGTCGATCTTTTGTATGTCTATCCAACTGACTGACAGATGCAGAATTTTCTGAAGAATTTACAGGATGAATGACAATTATGTCACTTGTTGTGGAACTGACAGGAGAAAAGTTTTCATTGCAATTATTGGGCTCTAAACATTCATAGACAGCTCTTCGATCATAATTCACCATATCGTAAGGAGAACGAGCAAAATTGTAAAATTCGTGTATGAAATGAGTTGTGCGATTTTGAAGATATGGCTCTATATGAACGTAAAATTCTGGACTTTTTATATCGTATCTCATGATTAATGCAAGTATCAGTTCTAGCACAAATATCACTTGACTCTCACTGTCAGTCAAAAGAGCTATTAATTCCCTATTGAGCCAAGGTATGAGTCGATGAGTACATGCCGGATTTTGACAAAAAAATTCTGGTGATGTGTCTCTGTATCTTCTTTGTGATTCATCGCCTATCTGTACCCACAAAGCATTCTCATAGATATGTCTTCTAAAATTACTTGTAGATGGATGTTCAGTAGTCAGTTCTCTTGCATGACTGCTAGAGAAAGTATGTGGTGCATATGTCAATCTGTGAGCACGATATTCTAGTGTCTCTTCAAAAGCTCGATGTCGTCTCCTTTCTGCTGTCAATGTGGAAGGATATCTGAATCTCCTTCCATCTGGACTTTGCCAGGAGTTCTCGGTTGTCCTTGTTGCATTGATATAATATTGATCATAATCTTCTATTGAACGAACATTATGCACAATACTCTTAAATGGTTGTTTGCACAGAGGACACTCAGCTTTCACTTTAGACCATTCCAGAAGACAGGTGAAGCAGAATGTGTGAAAACAACTATCGGTAAAGGATTTATTTTCCAATTTGCCTAAACAAATTGCACATCCTGAATCTGGAGAACTTCTATTTGATGATGAATCATCATCTTTACTTATATTTGGAGACACATCAGTTGTTTCTGTAGCATGAGGACTTTTCAATCGATCAATTACACTATGATCTTCTAAATGGTCACTCTTATGCTCCATCATAGTTTAATCTGTAATTTAAAATATAAAATTAAGTTCTGATTTTCAAAAATTCAAAAGAATGTTTACTGCTATTTATGATATTATAAATATATGCAATGCAACCATAAAAAAACTGGATTTTGTCTATCAAGATTTAAATGTTTAACTAATATAAATGTAGAGGAGACTATTTTGAAGAGAATGGTTGACAGATTTAAATTAAGTTAAGCATTTTAATCTGTCAACCATTCTCTTCAAAATAGTCTCTTCTGCACTTATACACTGACTACACCACTTCTACCAAGCCTTAAACACCCTTTGGTAGTCAGTGTTTTGAAAATTCCAAAGCACTTATTGCAATTTGAACTGGATCTCCTCAATCATACCAAATGCCACCCCTTTGAACTTCAATTTCATTCTGGAAAACAAAAAAGCCACAAGAGGCTAATTCTGGATAGTAAGGAGAGTGGTGGACAGTTAAACATGATGTTTTTCAGTGCCAATAGTTTAGGGAGATTCTAGGATCAAAAATAGGTCTAAAATCATCTATCTATCCCAAATGAAGTGGATTTTACCACTTCATTTGATCATTTGAGATATGGCCTATTAAAAAAAGGTACTTTTCAAATAATCTGTCAAAGTACTAACATTACAGTAATAAACTTTTTAAAGTAATTTTGTATTATTTTTCATGCTTCTGTCAACTGACTGAAGTAAATAAATGTTGCCTAAGTAGGACTTATTGTAATAAATGTAAACAAAGTCTTATCCACTTTAAGGTTTTGCAGTATTTGTACGCTTTGTAGTAAGAAGAAATAGTTGGATTTTCTCAATGTAAATTTATTCCGAATATCATTTTGTTTTTTACAAAATTAAACAATTTTGTAAAAAACTAATTTACAAGAATTACTCAAAAATGTGGACATGCCGGCATACAGCAAATCAGAAACTTGTGCACATCATTTAACATGCATTCAAAAAAACAATTTTTAACACTTAAAATAAAAACCTTCAATTTGTATGTATTGATAACACAGGAGTGGAAAACAAATAGTAGTATCTTTTTGGCAGGCCATATCTCAAAAATGAAGTAGATTGTAATAAACCTTTATAGGCTTATTTTTGTCTTTAGAATCTATCCCTAAAATATTAGCATCAAGTTGTTATACCTTCCTGTACACATGTACAGTACAAGTACAAGCTATTGATGATACATTTTACAGAAATTTTAATTATTGTATTGTCAAAAACAAAATTATTCAATACTGATTAATTTTCTACAGACAAACACACATATATATATCTAGAGAATTTACCTTCAGATGGGCTACCATCTTGTAACAATATTAATAATTAGAAATTAAATTCAATGTAGGGCTTAAACTTTCATATTAAAAAAACTGTGCAGATGTAATTTCTAGTAATGTAAATCCAGCTTCATCTTATGTTTTCTCCTAGGCATATATAACCATACAGGTTAATTATTATTAGGCCAACTGGAGGTATATTACCACAGAGGTCTGCATACTATAGAACAGAAATCGGCAACCAGTGGTCCATAGACCATCAATGGTCCACGAGAAAATTTGGACATTGATCAACTGAAAATTACGCAAAGTATTACGAAAGAAATGCAAAATGCTTAGTTGCTTTTTTTCGCTCATTGGGTTTTTTTTTTATTCAAATCTAAAACCAAATATGAAGTGACTGTTATCAATAAATAATATTGTGAATCCTTCGTGGAAAAGTGCTAAGAATCAATAAACTTATTTCAAACAAGCAGCAATGAACTTTAGGCTTGCATTAATTTGTTATAATTAAACATGTGACTTTCATACTAATATAGTAAAATTGAACTATTATTATCATTATTCTACAGATTTTGAATTGTTTAAAAAAATTCACGATGGTGGTCCGTGTAATTCAAAATTGTGAGTTTAGTGGTCTGTGAAGTCAGAAAGGCTGCAGACCAGTGCTATAAAAGACCCTAGTTAAAATAGCAATATTTAACCTGTATACAGTAATTCTAAAGTTTACTCATATCTAAAAGAAGAGATCATAAATGTTGGTTTGAGTCAAAACTCAAACCAACATTTATGATCTCTTCTTCTAGAGGAAAAGATTGATCTCTAGATCAATCTTTTCCTCTAGAATCTTCTAAATGATTTCAATTTATAATTATTAATATTAGGCCAAATCTCTCTAGCATAATCTTCTTTAGCCCAATAAACTGGATTGTTTATAATTTGCCAAATTAATAAATAAATCTAAACTATCAGATTATTTTGACTATATTAAGACAAATTTAATTAATTATGAGATTTGTCCTAAATGTAGACGGTTTCATCATCATTTTTCTTATACAAAAACTATTATTAAAAATTGACTGTCATCAACTATGAAGCTATAGAAAACTATATTGTTTTTTCCTTATTGTAGAAATTCTTGAAAAATATTTTCCTGGACAAGTTTATTCACAAGCATGTGCAGTTTGATGACATCACAAGTCAAACTTGACAATGCTGTGAGCCAGCAGTGTTTGTTATTATTCTGTTACTAGTCACTAGAAACATTCAAAATCTTGAACATTTACTGATATTCACTTTAGACTTTAATGGAAACATTTAAAACTTCAAATAAACAACAATCTTATAAATGTCCTTATTTTATAAGGCCAAAATCTGATTCTCTTTCATAGCTACATGAACAGAAGAACCATAAGATAATTTGTAGTTCCATGAAATTTTTAAGACAAACATCTTATTTAATTTTTCACAGAATTTGAATTTTTATACCATATTTTCACAGAATGACTAGAATGCCTGTTAAACTGCAACTAAAATATAAAATTAATCAAATATAACAAAACTAGCTGTTAATTAAATGTTCCAAGTACAATAAAAGAACAACATTGTAATTTGACTATTAGTCAGTGTAGTCTACACTGGCCATCTACCCTGACCTTAAAAATAACACCTTCCTCTCAAATTACACCAATTAACATCCACTTTATGTGATAGCCAAAATAATTTACAGCGAGTTTTTAAATTTAACATGTTTAATTTTTGTTTTTGAATCAAATAACAATAAAACACAACAAAAGCACTTTTGGAATCCACAAGTGTTTTTCTTCATTAGAATGAAGACAAAATAAAGAAATTAAATGTGTATAATCATAGTTTTTGATGTAATGCCAACAGTTTCATAGTTTTAGAATAAAAACTTTTTCGTTTTTATGTGATGGAACTTGTTCCTTTTTTTTTAATGCACCCTCTAGAGAGGGATGCAAGACCTCACTTAAACCAGCATGCCACAAGGCTTTTACCACATGGAAATATCTGATTTCCTGGTCTCCCTGGATAGATCAGCATGCTGATCATTTTGTGAAAACACAGTAATTTCATAGAATTTGAACTCAAATAATTTTTTGTTACATATAGACTATGGACTGCAATTTATTAAAACTTTGTAATCATAAACATTTGTAGGCACAGATAATTTGAGTTTTTTTTCATAACTGTCTTAATTATCAGTGACTTTTCTTATTTATGCAACTTTCCATTATGAAAATTCTCTGTTCTATATTGTAATATATTTCTAATTATCATAATGTTTAATTTAAATAAAAATAAGCTAAAGTTACATTTGGGAATCAGTTACAAAAGAAAAGTCAGAAGCCACAAACTTGCACTATCACCAACACCTCACTTTACTTCTTACAAATAAGATTTTAGCTTGCTCATGTAGTATTAAGTAAAGTTTGTGGAGCCTATGCTGTATTAATTATTTCAATTAGCAAACTTCATACGAGTTCTGTCAGAATAATAATCAATTTTAGTTTTCTCTTCAGAATTGATAAAGTTTCTGTGTATTTGCAGGACTTTTAATCATACTGAGTGTTGCCAAACATCTTTTATTTCAAAGAAAAATCCTTTATTTTACTTAAAATATTGTTGTTCTTTATTGAAGCAATTTTCATAATTAAGTGATGAAAAAGATATTTATAAATTTTCACGAATATGAAACATGAACTAAATTTTGCACGATAACAAAGCATAGAATGCACTAGAAAATTAAAATTTATTTATTTAACAACAATGACTTCTGTTTATGGTGTTTTAATGTAAAAAGCACATGATACACAACAATGAAAATAAATGATTGTTTTTATTAGATGAATAGTGAAAGTGTATATAATTTGACAAAACATGGAGTTTCCAACTGCAAACCTCATTTTATTGAATTCAAGAATATTCGTGTTTGTCTGGAGCTTCACAAATAATAGATTTCGGATGATCAACCATTCAAATCATCTTAATACAGAATTTATAATCGATATCTATTATCATTTTCATACTCAGACACGAAAGATATGCATTGATCAATTTCTGAATTTTAAACATCTGAATGAGAGCAGAAAAAGGTAGAGAAAGTTTAATTTTTCTTAAAGAAAAAATTATGATACATATTATGATGACATTCAAAGCAAACATGCATCACTGGTAGAACAGAACTGAAGCTTTATTTTGATAAGAAGAGAGACAAGAGAGCTTTTTATAACAGACTTAAATAGTTATTAAACTACAAAAGTATGTAAGAAACAAGGTAGTCAAATAAATATTGCTATCATCTTTGGTTATTTTATTAATTTGAAAAAAAACTAAACACTAAGGAAGAATGTTCTCTTAAATTTTTTAAATGAATTTTCTGTATCTAAGTAAATAAATGAGACTAAACATTAACAAGAAATTATTCATTCAACTATTATCTTTTTCATAATGTCAACACTTGCTAAAAAATCAAATATTTTTACATTTAGTTTTAAAACTCCTTGTTACTAATATCCTAAACAACAGCTGCTGTTTAAACATATATTAATCAACAAGTAAATCTTTCAATAATATAATAATCTGACATTTTTTATAGTGTGTATTATATAGCATTTAAGGACTTTATTGAGTACAACACGCATATAAATCACAACCACAATTCTGCCATCTACACCCCGAACATTAACAATTCCACACAACTGTCGCTGACAACACCGTGGGAAAAAAGCCTCTTTTCTACCTCAGAAAACGGAATCTTTTACCTATTTTAAGAATGGGAAATACGATTCCATTTGACTGCAATTACTTGACGGTTAAATTGCATCAATATAAATACATCCATTTCTCTAACTGCAAAATAATATACGTAAAAGTTAAAGCGAAACTCGTTCTTATGGAAAAACTGCATCTAATATATCTAAACATAGCTACTGTATTTCATAGAATTAAATTTGAATTTAAAGATTTAAAGACAGAACTACATTCATTTTAAAGAATGCATTTAATTACTTCATACTTCTTTAAGGCATGAACCAATTGCCTTAAAGAAGTTTGCATCAGATTAATTACTTTTTGGTCATTGCCATTATGTATTTAAATTATTACAAAGTAACTTGTTTAAATTGTGAATTGAGCTAATAATAAGCCTTTCTCCATTTAGGAATTTTGTTTTTCTTTGGTCTATGTTTCTTTTAAGTACTTTATATTATATATATACAGTGGTGATATTCAGCGGGTTCGCACAGGTTCGGCCGAACCCGTTGTTAACATTTTCAAAGTTTTCTGAACCCGTTGTTAAACACACACAACATTTCCCAATGGTTTTGTTTCTTTTAAAAAATATATTAAAATATACGTATTATACTCTGTAACACTACTAAACTAGAGCTTTATACCCCGTTCGCCTTGGTGCAACCTCCATCGACCGTTTCAATCTCGACTGAAACCAGGTTTAGTCGGGATCGACTCAAGAGAGTTCTTGAAACTAGGTCCAGTCATACGAGAGATCCCATGCGCGCGACAAAATACAAGATGGCTGCGGAACACGTGTCGTGCTATAGACAGCGAAATAAAAAAAAAGATTGTATTTCGAGAAACGATGACATCTGTCTATTATTATGATTATACCTAAGGATAAAATAAATGATTTAGAAAAGTTTTTTCTTGAGAAAAAGTCATAGGGAAAGCAGTTAAACCTGGGGCCATATTCTGGTCACTGTCTCTGGTCTCTCATCTCTCACAAGCCGGTCGCTGATTGGCTAATCCAAATGATTGTCAGCCAGCGACCAGCTTGCGAGAGACGAGAGACCAGAGACAATGACCAGAATACGGCCCCTGCTTTCCCCATGACTTTTTCTGATTAAAAAAACGCCAANTCTCCATTTCGGCCAATGTGTGTCTACTTTACCCGAAAGCGCACAATCGAATGTACAACAACATGGCAGCACATGTATCTCAAAGTGTGTGGCTGATGCCCGCAAAACGCATGTTCTAACCAAAATCTATCAACGCCCATTTGAGTGTGTATATGTATGTGGAACTCCTGTTTTTTTAAAATGCACGTTACCAAAACGCACGTTTGAAAACGCCTAATTTGTACACAGCCTTAATGCCTATTGATGGATTTCACAACAAATATACCACAAAAAGAAGAGTAAACTCGAACATCCACTGATATATATATATATATATATATATATGGTCAAACTTTACCTATGTGCACCATCATGGCCACACAGTGTTCTAACCTAACCTAACCTATTCTAATAAATTATCAAATTATTGGTAATTTATCGGAATAGGTTAGGTTAGAACGTGGGTCCTCACTGTGCAGCCATGACGGTGCACGTTGACCATATATATATATACATACATATAAATGACCTAAAAGTAACTTCAACCATTTTTTCTTTCATACACAATATATTCATTACATTAAATGTTTATTAAATAAATTATACACATTAATCTTAATGTATCTTATAAATTTAATTATAGATTAAGCCGTTTTTAAGAATTAATATTCAAATGAAATGCTAAAGGACAAATTTCATAATCAGCAGGAAGATTCTACATGGAAGTTTTTTAAGCATTATGTGTTTAATTAGTAGCGAATTTTTACCTGTTTAAAATGTTCGTCTTCCTAATAAGAACGTTCTAAAACGGTATCTGAGTTCTTTTATTTAGATATTACGTTTATAATACTATTTCGAACTGAGATTAATCATATTTAATGGATGTACAAACTAACACCGCTAGAACTTCGCCATTTTGAATTAGACGAGTGGCTCACCCTTACGACACGTCTTGGTACTAAATAATTCATTTACTGATTAATTTAAATTGTAATATCTTTTCTCTTCCTCACATATTTTCTTTCTGCTAATATTAATATATACATATTTTTATCACCCGTCCTTCACCACCCGACTGCCCCATTGTCCGAACTCATAATGGGCTTGCTAAAAAAAAGGTCCTCTTACTGTCCACAGGCGAAAAGAGTTTTTAAAAATGTATATAAATGACCTAGTAATGGAAATATTCAGGGCTGTGGAGTCGGAGTCGTCAAAAAATCCTCCGACTCCTACTCCTTTTTACTTACCAACTTGTTATGTATCTAAAACGAAAAAGTATTGGAATCGTATCAAATTTGACCGTCCAAGTTTTTTTTTTTTTTGCAAATCTACACGTTTGGAGACCTCCCGAACCTCTCAAAAAAGTCAATAAAGGGGAAAAATTCGCGCGCGCGTGTGTGTTGGCGTCTAATTTGTTTAATTTCTTTACTTTCTGTTCTGAGATATTAAACAATATCCCAGAACGGGTAAAGTTTAAGAAAAGAAATGTGGCGATGTAGCTTGCGTATAAAGGGGCGTTAATACTATTAAATTTTAGTTCTTAATTAAAGGTCGACAGGGTGAAGACATAAAAGTGGTCATGTGTCATATCTCTTAATGAATATTTTACTCGTTATTAGCGTTCAAAATATAAAAAAATAAAATAAAACTCGTCTTTACCCTCAAAGTAAGCTTTTTTGCCATTTTATAATAGTACAGTAAAACACGTTAAAATGTTCTCGCTTAATTAAGATGTTATAATGTATATGGGGACACGATTTAGTTCAACCACTTTGACTTAAATAACTAATTCCTGTGTTAAACCATCCGACTCCGGTTCTGACCACTCTGACCACAGAAATTACAGTATTAGGCTTCAAACAGGGTGAACGAAATCATGCCCCCCACACAGTCTAACATCCACACATATAGAAAAAACCTCGAATCTTTTGCATATCTCGAAATTTCAAGGTGTCCCGAATCCAAAAATGTAAAAATTTGAGAGGGGTCATTTTTTGACCGAGCGCTACACTTTCCTCTGTTATATATAACAGCCGGAAAAGTAAAAATTATCGAATACATATTTATATATTACTTAGATAAGTCTTTTAGCATTGGAATAAAAAGTTTCTACGCTCTATTTTTATTACAACTCTATTTATTGAATACAGTAGACCCCCTATAACGCTTAGATACGTTCCACGTTAATCGAATTTTACGTTGTAGGAATCATTAAATACATGAGCCAATCGCAGCCCGATAGGTGGGAAGTTTACGGACTAAGGCTGTTTGAAAGGTTTTCTTCTATAAAATTAACCGATTCTAGACTAATTCCACTCAACATTTCCAAAACACGTATAATTTTTTGGGAATAATCCGTATAAACTATGCTATAAACAAAAAATTGTAGGATTACTTACCGAGTGTGCACCGTTCGACGTCGCCATTGCTTAAGCTTGTTTTCGTCGCAAAGCAGCACACCAAACAGCGGCCGCGATTTCTGATAAGTTATTTTTCTGCGAAAACTTTGTTGAACTTTGGAGACATCATTAATATAAATAATTTTTATGGCCGTTAAATAAAAAATGTTTCTTTCACATGTGTAAAATTAGTGCTGTATTAGACTTACGGTACCTAATTTACATACTGTACAGACGATAATAAACTCAACTTACTAGCCTAAACTCTCTGTAGCGTAGCGCTAGACGGCGAAAATTATATATATAATTATAATAAAGTTACAATAAATTAAGTTAATATATAATTATACATACAGTACCTAATTTATATATAACTAACTTACCCGTCGCGCATTGCTGCGATCTCAGAAAAAAGGAAATTCAAGCAAACTCGTTATGATAAAATTCAATTTACATTTTATTATTTTTATTGAAACTTATTATTATTATTTATTTTCATCGGAAAAACATTTCAAGGTGTCGTTTCAATTCTATTTATTTATTGGAGTGCTTGTGGATACACGATATTTTTTGTTTTTCCCTCTGGTGTGTACACGAATAAATCGGAAGGTTTTTCGACGTGTGAGCCGGCCACATACAGTTGTCTATGCGAGAAGCACGGATTCTCCAAATTTAGCCCACACACTCGCTGCGATTGTCAGAAGTGCGATATTCTCCATTTTTATATATATTTTTAAATCCTTTATAACTTTAATTATTTAATTGCTCCTTCCTCTCTTCCTTGGCATGTTGTGAAATTTCTGATAGTCGGATAATAAACCGTTTTATTGTAATTTGTCTTTTTAAATTATTTTGAGTCGATATTAAAATTTGGAAAAGGGGGATACCTAGATCGGTAAAATACGCGAATTTCCTTCTACAACTTCGGTTGTTGTTCATGATACAGTTAAGGCTTTAACAAAGTTCGAGCGATTACGCAATTAGCAAAAAATAGTTGAAATAAAGTGATTAAACAAAAATTATTAGAAATATCGTAAATAACAAATGCATATATAGAGATATTTTTGGAGGGGGAAATGGTCTTCACAATTTGAAATCGATCGAACACACAGTGCCCGAATGCTCGTGTAAACGCGTGCCATCTATCGTAGGATAAATGTACTTCGCGGGAGTGTATTAAAAAAACTTTCCAAAGTTTCATGGCAATCGTACTATGCCACAAACCTTCGCTGGAGTATATTAAACAACTTCCCAAAGTTTCACGGCAATTGGATAAACGGTGTGGTAATGCATGAAGGACAGACAGACACACAGACAGACACACATTCATTTTTATATATATAGATAAGCTGAATTAAGATACAATTATTAAGGAGTTCGGTAAGGCTAAAAGCAGGTAATTCTGTTTCTTTAATTTTTTTAAATGTTAGTTAAAGAATATAGTTTGCATTTTTAGGAATAAAAATTTGACAGTTTCAACTGCTTTTTATTTTATAAAATCAGTCTTCTTGCGCCACCAGAGGGCCTCGCGAAATACACCTTGCCCACATCAAATTTAGGTCTTGCCCCGCCGCTGACTGCATATACGGTCATTCAGTGTGAACATGTTGCATTTTTTGAAGTAACAGTTTTAGTGAAATTGAAAAATACAGTATCGGGTTACTAATAGAGATTTTTACTGTAAATATTTTGTTGTTAGACGAAATAAACATCCAATATATAAACTGCATTAATATTTAATACATATTCTAAAATGTTTGCAGTATGCATCATTAAAGTGGTTTTAGTTAACTCTCTTTAAATTACTGTACATCAAAACATGGTTCTCAGACCAATACTAGTCTATAGACTGTGGTAAAGTTTTAGTTTTCTGACAGGTTGTATGACAACATTATGTAACTTATTAAACAGAATAACAGAAACATTAATATAACAGATTTATTAAGGAGAATAAATGTTATAATATTGTTTGTGGACTAAAGACACACTTTAAAATTTAAAATAAAATATAGCAATTGAAATAAAAACTTTCAGCCATTTAAAGTAATATTTCATAACAATTGAGAGTAATGTAACAGTACAAATTGCGTATTCTAATGAACAATAGTTGCTTAATTAATAATCATTTTATTATAAACAATACAGTAAATAAAGTTGAAGTAGATATTTTTATTTTTTTTTTGTCTACTGTTAAATAAATATATTTATAAAAATTTATTAGGGGAACCCGGGGCAGATTGGGGTACCGGGCCGGAATGGGAAAGACAATTTACATATGAAAGAGAGGTGAGGGAATTGGTTCTCTCCCGTCCTACACTCACACTGGACAACAATACGACAGTGTGAACACTTGGTTACCGAGATTCGCTTTGTCTTTGACCAATAAAACCTTGAGTCGTGATTTTTTGATGAAATTACAAGTGTATCAACATTAAAATAATGAAAGTATATAGTATATTTTATAATTTAACCAAATTTATATAGTCTAGTTTATTAAAGATTTGTTTGTTTGTATTTTTAGAATGAAATAACGCAAAAAGTAACCATAAACTTTTTCCTCTACTGATTTTTATAAGCATGTGCTTTGGGGCACAATGGGACGATTTCACATAAAGAAAAAGTAAAAGGAAAAGGAAAAAAAAAAAAAAAAACAAAGTCTAGTAAAAGAGAAGAACAAGGGGATGATTACTCGGATGATGATGATGATACGACATGTCTTTACTGCACCTAGGCTTACTCACAGTCGATTGAGTTTTGGTGTTCATTTGTCGCATGCAAAAAATGGGCTCATATGTCTTGTGCACAGGGTTTTGACAGCGATGATGCCTATTCCGTGCTGATTTGCGAGTTTTGTAAGCAACAAGAATAATTTTTTTTTCTAATATTTCAGCACTAATCTCATACCCCATTCTGCCCAGAGTACGGAGCAGAACGGGATGTGGGCAAGCTATTTTTTAATGATTTATTTTTCATACAAAACTATTGATTTTTTAAAATCTAATTTAAATAATTATGTGCCAAATATAATAAATAAAGGATATAATGTAATATTTTTGTTATTTTTCTTTTATTGTTGACATAATTTTAACTTCTTCGTTAGCTACCCCATTCCGCCCCGGGTTTCCCTAAATTCTCTATAAAAATAATTAAATTTAGTTTATATACATAATAACTTCTTTTATTTAGGAACTTTCTTATCTCTTGCAAGTACTTTTGAAGGTTTATTTAACATAATATGTAAAGTTCGCGAGAATGATTTTCTTTTGTCTTCATCCAATTTTAATTTATAAAAATGTTTGAGCTCCTGTTTGCAGTTTGTGTAATGTAAAAGCGCATGTAAATGTAGAAAACTAAGCGTCTTATTTTAAAAAAATCTCCAAATTTCTTCTTTAATTTTGCATTTCAAAACTAAATAAATTTATCAATATACTTTATTATACGAACCATCAGTGGCGTGCCGTGACATTTGATGATAGGGAAGCTGTGTTTCTGTAAGAAGCCGACATCCAGGGGCAATCAGTCAATAGCGCGTCAGTGATGGCCTAGGGCCTATGCGTATTCGTTTGTTCGATAAGCCAGTAAAAATCGTAAACTTCTCTAAATGTATTTTTAATATCACAATTACATTCCGAATCGCTAACCACGATATAAGGGCTACAATTAAAAATAAAATAATAAAAACTTACTCGGTGAAATAAAATGTGTGGTGGATGTACCGGTACATACCTGGTACAAAATATTCTTCAATTGTACGAATATACTTTTAAAGAAAATTATAATTAAATATAGCTTTGTAAAGAAACGTACATAAAAATCTAAAATATTCTTTACTTTTTAAATCTTAAAACAATGCACTTAGTCAAATAGCTCCCTACGAATGGCTAATGGATGGAATCGAAGACGGTTGCAGAGCGTGCATACACGCGGACTGCCAAATCCCCAGGATGAATGTCAAATACCTCTTTTGTCGCATCACTAGTACAGTATATCTCAAAGGACGCGACCGGGCTGTTGTAGATTTTAAACGTTTCTCGCCATAGCTGTAAAAATCTAAATATGTTAAACTTAAAAGTCATTTGTTTTCTAACTAATTCGTTTTAGGGCCAGGTGTCCATGGAAATTTCCAAAATTTACAACTTTTCGGTCACTCTCGTTCAACTGAAAAAATTTGTTTATATTTCGAATAATATTACGAAGAAATCAGTCCCCACTGTACTCGGCTAGAGATGGTTCGGTTAAGCTTTTGTTTATGTCCCCAATTCCCTAATCGCTTAATTATTTAACTACTTCTTAAGAAATAATTCTACTTCTAATTCTACTTAAATTTAACTACTTCTTAAGTAGAAATAAGTCGAAACCAGTTACTTTGTACTCGAATATTAGTAGTCTCGGTGAAAAAGTGGAAAGAAATTTTTATGACAAACGGATACATAAATCGTAAATTTAAGGAAAGTAAATTTTAGAGCTTTTTCTGTACCTGGTGCATCTTTCACATTCATTAAATTTAGTTGTAAATTATGCTACCAAAGTAACAGTTAATTTTTTAACATTATACAAGAATTGTACACGTTTTTCTCTACATTCCCTTAAAGATAGGACATACGAAATCGTAATATCACTGGTTTAACATTGAAATCCGTGAGTAATATAAAATCGGAGAGCGGAATAAATATATCAAATATTTTAACGGATTTTTTTAAACTCCTGTCAACTATACAGAAAACTATCATAAAAACATACTAGTAAATTCTTATCGGTTGGGTTAAGTTATAAATCTACACGTGATTCACGTAATCGGGCGAGGGCGGCCAAATATCTAGCGGGCGGGCGGCTAATAGCCCAGAACCGGTCCTGGATAGAATTGGATGCGGTATACGTGTAGCATCCACCCGAAGTTTTAGGCTTCCACCAGCTAAAACGGGTGAGGTTGGTGCTCTGTAAAGTACATGCGCGAATCTGGCTTTTTGGATGCTGACAATACAGCGCTTCCACTCCGCCACTAATATTCGAATATACAATAGCAATCTTATCTTTTTTTTTTCACGTGTAGTATAGAAATTTGTAATAAGATACATAATGCGGTTATAATAAAATATTGTGCGATTATTTTCATATAATTAAAATTAATATGTATTTATTTTTTAGAAAATACAAGGGTAGCGGCGCATCCACGGCTTCCAATGACGGCACGCCACTGCGAACCATCGACATAAATAGGTTTCAAAAAGCTAAGTATTTAGTTAAAGCCTTTAATTAAATGCAGAGTAACCTCCAAATGAAAAAAAAAAAAACTCTATTTCAAATTATAAAAGGAATTCTGTGGCTCGAACTCGAAGGAACGTGCAGTTTACAGCACGTATATAGCATGAAATCCAATGAATTGCGGATCAAAAATGGCGGCTCCATAGGGAACATTGATGTCCTAACCTTATGTTTATAGACCTTGTTGATATGAAATGTGTTTTGGCGATTTGATTTAATTTGGAATAATTTGATATTATTTGTCTGAGAAAAAATTTAATTATATGTATTTTAGTTTATTATAGAATTAATAAAATTAAGTACTGTATATAATTCCAGTGGCGTAGCGTGGGTGTCAGCCGCCAGGGGCAAAGGAAAATTTCGCCGTCCCCTTATTTAGGTATCTCAATTTAAAAGACTAAAATTCAGTTTCGTCACAGAATAAGTAATGAAAAATTCCGTGCAGTGTTACCACCTTTTTAAAATCGCCGACCCGGATGGCAGGTGAGGTTTGTTCAAACAGAAGTTCCTGACGCATGCGTATGTGATTTTGCAATGTGTAGAATAATGTGCAGTGCATGTCGGTTCTAAATCAGTTACAGTTAGCGACTAGGGAGACTCGGGTAGGAGTAACGTAAAGCCCTGGTCACACTATGCGATTTCCAGCCGCGCAGGCGACTGCAACCGCGACGGCTGTTCCCGTTAACTAGTAATCCCCCTCGAAAACCGGCGCGACTGCAATCGCAACTAGAAACAAAAACTTTGTTCTACTCGCGACGATTGCAAACGCGCATCCNTTTGCAATTACAATAAGAAGCACTTAACTGTATAACTCACTTTAAAAAATTACAAAAATATAACACAATTTAAAAAATTACAGCTTTGTTTGAATTTGATAAAGGTTTGGTCTGATGAGATGCAGTAATAAACACATGGGAAATGTACCAAAGAAAGGAGATACCTCCAGGAAAACTCTCTACGTGAAACTAGCCCCTATTTAGGTGTTAGTCATGTAAATAAAAACTTGAAAACTCCATGAAGCCAGTCTGTTGCTCAGCACAAACTATCACCAACTATCAATGTTCAGTGGCTAAAAACCATTGAACATTGATAGCATGACAAGCTGAATTTCATACAAAGGAGGGCAGAATTGAAAATATTCTGAGTATTTATTTTTAGGACTGCAATGCAAATAACAGCTGCATGAACAGAACAGTATAAAAATTAAATCAGTTTTTTTTTTAAAGGAAAAATTAGAAAATTTCAGAAATTACAAGAACATTAAATTGTAAATGTTNATAGTCAGAAGATTAATACTTTTACAGAATCGAGATTGATCGAGCTTATTCAGGCTCACGAATACCTGTGGGATTTTAATTCTTCGTTTTATCGAAGATTTTATCTTTTCATGTATTTTCGCCAGCTCTATTAAAATAATCGCCTTTTTTCTTTTATTCATTCCAGAAAAGGAACTGCTTGCTATTTTAATAAGAAAAGTGGCTAAAATTCCGTAAATACTCTGAAGTAGAACGTAAAATATCGGCAAACTCACGAAAGTAGTCAAAAACAAGTTACTGTAATTTTATTGGTTTATAATAGGGCCACGTGTTTCCGAGTTGCAACGTCAACAAATAATGTGCGACCACGAGAAGACGCGCGCGACTCGCGCTTGTTGCAGTTGCAGTCGCCTGCGCGGCTAGAAATCGCAGTGTGACCAGGGCTTAAGTAACCAAGATGACTTAGCTCTATTGGATATTGGAGGTGTATATGAATACGAATATATCGTATAAGGAAAAAAAAAGTCGATAGGTTGCACACGGTGATACCGTGCGCAACCTATCGACGGCGAGATAGATTCCCGGACTGTCCGGATGGTAACACTATTCCCCGTGCTCATTTTAATCGGTACGAATCGTAGGTGCGACGAAGATATGAAATGGTTCAAATTTTTACAAGATATTATTACTGTATTATTGTGAAATTTTGCCGCCCCCTAAAAAGTGCTGCCCCCACTAGTAGGCCACTGTTTAATTCACTTCATTTATTCTCCTCGCAAGAAACTAAATTAATTCACGATCGTTTCTTAAAATATCCACCACGCCCGAGGATGGAAAGTGTCTCGAGTGTACTGTTCCATCCAACAATTGTTGTTACTACAATTGCCACCACCCCATTGTCCACCGTATGACCCTCTAGGTCCTTGCAAGGGCGTTAAAGCCCTTTGCACAAGTTAAATATTGGCAAATTGTTGCTGTTTGCTAAAGGAGATTCCATAACAGTTCAAGAGTACCAAAAATTTAGGTGTGCCACTGAAAAGGGCTATTTACACTTGCTGAAAGATACTGATCAGCAATAACAATAAAATGAAAATTTAGCAGATATTTCTAAGTAATTTATTTCAAAAATATTA